ACATATATATATATGTATATATGTATATGTCTGTATGTACATATGTATATATATAGAGTTTAACGACTTTCGAATACAAAAACAAAACTAAAGCAACCACAAATACAACAACAACAGCTACAAAATGCCAGTGAAAAAGCAAGGTAAGCCGTTCCCCCAATTTATTTCAATATATGCACATATATATTTTTATACGATTTTCGAATATTTACTGTATACATTGTGTGGTGTAAAAGAGGAGTATATTGCTTTTGCACAATGTTTAGAAACTTGAAAATTAGGAAATTTAATAAACGCCCAATAAAAAAGAAATCAAAACTGATCTTTGGCAAATTTAAATTTTAGTTTATATGTAGTTTTGCGACTTCCAGGTTTCAGTCTCGACCTCCTGTTAATCTGCTCTTCGAATACTTCTACAACTGAATATATTAAATTATGTCTATATAGATCTAGGGTAATATGCATTAAAATAAAAATCTTGAATTAAATTTTATACATTTCCATTTTTAGATTAAAGGAGCATTTAGCAGTCGGCTATGCCCCACTCTTGTTTTCCTTTGTTTATTTATGCAATCAAATTAAAAATTTATTGACTAAATGGCGCAAAATAAAAACAAATAGACTTTCTGAGTTGTTTTTCCTTCACTAATAAACAATTTTAATTATTAAAAAAAAAAAAGAAAACAACAACAACTAAATTGGAAAATGTTGTAGAGCTTTCATCAGTTTTTAATGGACATTCATCAAGCTGTGCAAATAGATCAAAATTGTGCCAAACTCTTGAAGATAATTAAAATTTTGTTATTTTATTAGGTTCTTTATGGAAATGTGTTCGTTTTGCAAAACAAATATTAAATGTTTATATTTCATTTATATATATTTAGGGGAAATGAGTAGTAAACCCATGAAACAATTGCTTGTGGAGAAGCTCAGGATTGCTACAAAATTTTAAATTCTTTTGGGCGAATGAAATAAAGTTTTAACATAATTTTCAATTGAAAATATTTTTACAAAATTATATATTTGCTACGAGGTTGGAGCTATTTTTTTTTTAAATTATTATTATACATATTTTTATATTTTTATGCAAATTCGCAACAGTCTGCGATGCCCAATTTTGCATAGACTACAGGGTATATGAGACAAATTAGAAACAAGCTGATGTTGCCAAACTTTTTCAAATGAGCATTAAACGAAGGTCAGCATAAGTATGTGACGTGCATTGTCAAGACGCCAAAATAGTTATATACATATGTAAAATATATGTATGTACATATATTTATATATATACATATTTAGATTCAGATAGGTAGTATGCAGGTGTGTGTCCGACTTTATGGCAATGTCATCCATGTTTGCTGTGCACTGACCCCAAAAGATTTGTAAATGCCTGGCGAGGCGCAAAGCCTGAAACTGTGACGAAAACTGATGCAAAATGAAAAAGGTGGAAAGCATAAATAGTTGGCCTAAAGCGGAGTGTAGATGTGCCAGGTGTGGGCAGGTGCGGGCAGGTGTTGCCCGGTGAGCGGTTAACCAGGCGAACTAGCGGGCCAGCGGGCCAGCGGGCGGGACCAGATACTAATTTTGCTTTCTGTTATATTTTGTCGTTATTCTTTTTGTTTTTAAGTCAATCTTTATTGATTTATTGAACTAGTGCCGCACTAGCAGAGAAATCGTGTAGATGGTAGATGGTTTATTTGGATGGGTATTATTAGGCAGTACGACAACGTCTCCGCACAGAGCAAGTGCTGGCGGAACACTTGAGCTGCCTTGCCTTGCCCTGACTGGACTTGACTTGACTTGTCTTGTCTTGTCCTGTGCTGTGGGGAAATGGACTCGGATACGGATTCGGATAGGGAAAAGAGCAGCGATCCCAATGAGGAGCTGCTGAGCAGCGATGATAAGACATTTCACGATGATGATGTTGATGATGATGATGAGGAGGAGGACTCATCCGATCGGATCGATCCAATTAGGCGAATCGATGCGGAACAAGTGCAATCAACAGCAGAGCAACTGCTGGTGGTGCTCATGCAAGCGGAAGCCATAGAAATGCAACAGCAGCACGAACAACAACAACAACAACAACAGCAACAACAACAGCAACAGCAGCAAATCGATGTCGAGGTGGATGTGACTGACATGTCAGTGGCAACAGCTTTGGAACCACCAACAGCCACTCCAGAGCCACCTGGCCAGCGTGTGCCCGCCGAGCCACTGATTGCCAAGTATAGCGAGAGTGTGCGTGAGTCTGTGGAATGTTTCTACTCTGCCCAGGATCTGCTGGAGTATGGCCATATGCTGTCCACGGCGGAGCAGCGCACGCCGGATGTTGAGTCTGGCTATTTCGATAAGTCCGAGAGTGACGATGTCTCTCGCGAAGATTTCGAAGCCCACACTGGCTGCTTGCGTCGTCCCAAAGGCGCCCATGCGCTGCCAATCCTCTCCAGCCAAGAGTTGGCATCCACAACTAGCAGCTCGAAAAAAAAGCGCATTGAGCTGAGCCGCTTCTGCAGCTCCATGGAAGCATTCGAGCTGCAAAAAAAAAAGCAACAGCAGCTGCAGGTGGAGGAGCGGCAGCAGCAGGAGGAGGAGGAGCAAAAAAAATTGCTCTTAAAGGAAGCGACCGCTGCTGGAGGGGATTTGGCTACGGACGAACGTTTCCTTGACACACAAAGTGAGCCATATGTTATGCAGGTGTTTAGCCTAGGTAAATTGAATGATTGGCCAAGCCAGCTACAGAAAGACAATGCTCTAGCAAATAGACTATATAGGAAAAAAAAAAATATTTCATTTATTTTCCGCCAGAGTTGGGGGAAAATATATTGAGAAATTGGCAATAGACTAGAAATATACATATATAGAAATGGGTATTATCTAAGAAATATTTACAGAAATGGGAAATATTTGAGCAATATTTAAGGAAAGGGGAAATTTTGTTTAGGATCTTAGATAAAAAAAGCACTTTTCAATGATTGTATTTCTTAGTGTCGCTTTATCTAGTCTATAACTAGTTTCAAGTTTTCTCATTTATGTATATATCATGCTTATTAAATTAGGTCTAACAATTGTAATACTCAAATTTTCTTCAAACTTTGCAGAAGCTCATCGAGCCCTTGAATTGCTCGAGGATTATCATGCGCGTCTCTCGGAGCCACAGGACCGTGCGCTGCGTATTGCCATCGAACGTGTGATTCGCATCTTTAAGTCTCGCCTATTTCAAGCGCTACTAGGTGAGTGTATTACAATAGATATATAGGGCTCTATATGTATATACTATATGGTAGCTAATGAGCTATAGAGCTCTGCGTTATAGAGCTCTCGAAGTGCGGTTACTTTAAGCAAAGTTCTCATTGCATATCTTCAGTATGTGCAATGGGATTATGTTTTTATCTATCGAAATTACCATCCCATATACAGTTTCTCATCTCAGATGGAGAACTCTGTCGTATGCGAGCTGCTTCTAGATATTTAAGTGCTTGCTCAAGATATGCTCGAGTCTTGGGTTTTTTTTTTTTTTTTTTTTTTGGATTAGGTTTCATCCAAAATTTCCAAATGCTGTGCATACAGTTCGCTCGTATTCCCCCTCCTCCTCCTCTCTCCCTCCTTCTTGTTCTGGCTTTTGAGCTGACTCAAGCGAATTGAAGCAGCTGAAGCAGCTCGTTAAATCGGATCCATAACTTGATACACACACTCGAGTCGAGCGTTGCATAAACAAACGACTCGTCGACAACGCCAACTCGACTCTTAGCTAATAGCTCGATATGCATGTATACAAAACAATGTATCTTGGAGGGGGTGGGGCTGGCTCTGTGCTATATAGCCATTGCTATATATGCATTCCGTTTCCTTCTGGCCACACACGTCGCCGTCTCGACCATGGACACAGCTGTGGATATTGACGTGTGCAGGAAATTAAATGGACGCATTCACATTTTTACATTTAGGCCACTTGACTTTGGGGCTGCTTATTGATGAGCTGGGCGTGACTACGCCCACACACACAGACAGACAGAACCACGAACCGACCCACTGAGGCTTGACCTAAAAACATGTTATGTGCTCATCAACGGACGATATTATTTCCCACTTCCACCAAGGCGATATACAAAATTCAAATTGAGTTCGAGCAAATTGCATTTAATACTAGTACTGCAAATACCCTGTAAAGTAGATTAATTTGTGTTTATTTTATTTTAGAATTGGATTAATTTAATGTTGTAATTTTCGTATAAGGCTTATAAAACTACTTTATAGATACCCTGTGAAAAGGGATAGTGCGTATTTTCTAATAAGTAATTTTATTTCAACATATTCGCTGTTGTAGGAGAAATATAATATATAATGATTTCTTATACATATTTCTATAAGATTTTTTTATCAGGCTTCAAAGATTACTCTAGACATACCCTGTAAAAAAGGAGTATATTTTCGTTAATAATAATATAAAGATTTAATAGTAAATTAAATGTACATATTTTTATAATACAAAATAATATTATATTATTAATTTGCCTCTTACAGATATACAAGAATTCTATGAATTAACATTATTGGATGACTCAAAGAGCATACAACAAAAGACCGCCGAAACCTTGCAGATTGCGACCAAATGGGAGAAAGATGGACAAGCGACAAAGATAGCCGATGTAAGTGGAGAAAGAGCTAACTATATAGTATATAGAATACATAGTATATATGATATGTATACCTATTCTGTTCTTAGATCTATAGACTGATCGTTGTAACTAGACTCGGTGTCGTAGATGTTGAGCTGAAAAATTGTATTATAATGAGATTATAGTACTCCTTGGAGAACACGATTCTCCAGCTCAAACTTAATATTAGTTTCTATATTAATATATTTTTGTTTTCTTTATGTATAAATATATATATATAGATATATGTGTTGTGTGGTACTTAGCTATAGGAATCCTATTTATATAGTTATATATGCGTGCCTTAGAGCCTTTCGATATCATTTGAGGTATATTTTTTGAATCATTTAATCATATAATCATTTTTCGATCTATATAATTTACTTCCTTATGCATATAGAAACACCCGTTCTTCATAAGTTTTCCTGTTTTCAAACTGTGTTTAGCCAAAAAAAAAATTTCGAACTCTATGCTCATGTTGCTCTCTATCTGTCTTAATTTTTCTCTTAAAAAAAAACTATCTCTCACTCTCTCTCTCTCTCTAACTCTCTCTCACTCTGTCTCTATCTTATGTCTTTAATCTTCTATCTACTTAACCCACTCTATGCAGTTTATAAAAACTACCAAAAAAAAAAGCAATTGCGTCTATGAACTTAACAACGATGCCACAAATCCCAATCCAAGTTCAAATCTTAATCAAACGGTGAACGCGGCCGCGCATGCCGAGGCCTTGAGCAGAACATTTAAAAATGAATTGGAAGAGATTTTGGTAAGCGCATTAACTCATTATCATAAATAACATTATCCATACAACTACAACTATTCATATCATACATATTATCTATGCCTATTGATAAACATGCTATATACATCCATATATACAGAGGGAAGAAAATTTATCTTAAGACTTAAATAGAGCTGAAAAAAAAAGCTTTAAGCTTATGTCTGATAAACAGTCTATAAAGTTATATTTCTTCAATGAAAAAAAAAATTTTATTGAAATAATTATTTTTTATTAGTTAAGATGAAGAAAATTTAAAATCATAAATTTTCATTTAATAAGATTACATTAAAATGGTTGATTTGAATAAGTATGGATGCTACGACTTTAAAAAATATTTCAAGGAAGCGGAATAGCTCAAGAAATGAAGCTAAGCTCAATTAGCCGGAAGTGTATTTGTGTGCCTAAGGCTAAGGCTAAGCAATATCCTTCAAGCTCTTTGCCTACTCAGAATTATTTATATGACACCTAAGAGTGCCCTAAAGGGGTGTGCACGACTAGGATAATACCCTGAATATATACTGAAAGAGTCATTCCAATCATTAGAATTGACATATCAAACTATACATATGACATCTATTGTGTAAGGCGAAAGGTGTCGAAGTTACGAAATATATTATTTATGATCGGACTACGAAATGCACAGTAATATGCTTAAAATGAAGACTTCACAATATTTATTAGTCAAGAGTATTTTGTAAAAATATATATACTATATATCATTTTGATATATTTATTTTTATGATCAGACTGTGAAATAAGCATAAATATACACAAAGTTTTTTTTTATTATTCAATATGGATTATCTGTTACTTAACTTATATGTCATAAAGAAACTAACTTTATGACATCATTAAATGAAATGAGACTGCAGATAAACTTCCATCATTATGCTAAGAGATAAGTAAAACAAATTGTTGTTTTGCTTTGCTTAGTTTAGTTTAGTTTGTGTTTGAATGATGACTTTACTTGAATTAGACCCAAATTGATTGATGGCTTGCGAGGCGAGAGATCTGGACGGCTGCTAATGACGGTACTACTACTTGAATATTAACAGTTAAACATAATATATATATGTATATATATAAGTATATGTATATAACTGTATATACAACAGTTTAGCGAACTGAAAGTTCTGTTTGCGTGCGTAAAGGAGCGTAAATTTGAAATCGGTATGCCGTTCGCATGCAAAGGCAAAAGAAAAAGCAAAAGCAAAAGCAAAGCCAATGGGAAAGGCAAAGGAAGTTGAAGCAAAGTTTTTGCTCCGGAAGTGCCCAACTAGGCAAGTGTCAAAACATTTGAGGCGGGTCACTTTTACAGGTTTTTACTGTAATACAAGCACTGATTGCTTTTATCGCCAGCTCTCACTGTCGCCCTCACTCGCTCTCCCTCTCTTTCTCTCTTCCTCTCTTTTTGCTGCACGCTCGCTGCCTCTGCTTAAGCTGTTTTTGTGTGGGTCTGTGTGTAGCCAAGCAACCGTTAGGCACACGCGCACACCCGCACACCCGCACACCCGCACACTCGTACTCATTCACACACACATGCATATACACTCATACAAACAGCTTTAAATTTGATAAGGACTTAACTGTTAGCGTCGTCTGTTTCGTATTTGCAACATGATTTGTGTTGACCCAGTCAGGGGCAGAATAACGGGAACATGTTGTACAAGTGGGCGGCTGGGCGGTCGTAGCGTAGACCGTCACGCTTTCGCTCGTGGCCCGGATTCGTGTTCGGGTTCGGGCTCGGGTTTGGGTTCGAGTCCGCAGTCATTCGTCCGTTTTTCGTCATGTCCTGCGCCGACGCCCTGCTTTTGTTATTGCACAGGCGATATCCAGGCGAAGGTACGTACGTATTATGCTGTTGACATGCGTAGTACGTTAACGTAAAACGTAAAACTCAACGTAAGTTGAACGTGTGTACATATGCTAAATTGTAAACGATGTCTATGCAAATGTAGCGACAGCTTTTGCTGATTTTTTCTTCTGACCTGATTGCACGCCGATAGCTGATAGGTTTGAGGGTGTGTCTCTGTGTGTGTGTGTGCGAGCTCTTAAGGATGTGCTCATGCAACAAATGCAATATCATCAATTGTTCAACAGCCGTGCTTAACGTATTAACTAGTACAAGGCGGCACATTGCTCAAACGCCCAATACAGACCTTTCTGCAAGCCCCCACCCCCTGCCCACTAACGACGTCTTTAGCTGTTGTTGTTGTTGTTTTTGTTATTGCTGCTGCTGCTGCTGCTGTTGCTGTTGCTGTTGCTGCTGGCATTGGCGATTCGTGCGTCGCGCGTGGCAGTAACAGCAGCGCTGTCGACGTGTCGAGTCGCACAACTTTCGCGTATCCGTCAACTGTCCCCGTCTCTTTGTTTTCTGTCTCCGCTTCCTGTGCCCGTCCGTCTCTGTTCTTTCGTCTTTGGCCAACGTCTTTTTGCGCCCCATCGTGTGCAAATTGCCCGGCATTTCCAAATTGGTTCGACTCGACGATTTAACCACCTTTGGCGCGCGTGCCTCCACATAGCGGCTGTGCGTGCGTGTGTGTGTTTAGAATATTTAATAAATTTGCTTTAATAAATTAAATATCCAAATGCAGTTAAAGCTAGAGTTGTGAACAATTTAATATGTATATTTTAAAAATTAGTCCTAAAAAATACCATGCCTTTGCCGTTAACACATTATAAATGCATAATTGTTCAACACTAGCAGCGCGCAAAAAAAATACAATTACATATTTTTGGCACTTTGTAAATTGCACACTTTCCAGCGCTGCATACACATACACACACACACACATACTCCCACAGCATGTGGCGTACAGCTGTTAAGCATCAATGATGTACACACGCACATACAGTTTTTGTTAGGGCTGCTAATTACATGTTGCTATCCCGCTTCAACTGCCTTTTCGCTGTTCAACTAAAAAAGGAAAGCTGAAAAAAAACCAAGCAAATGTCATCCATACTCGACATGGATGCTGTCAATGTTAAACGCTGCCATAGTTTACAGAGGGTATAAATTGTGCGCTGATCTCAACGCTAAATGGTTTTACCTGTAAGCTAAATGTACATGTATGTACATATGTATATATATACACATATAGGTATACATATATACATATAGTATTGTATTTACTGTATATTACGCATACGCCTTGGCAAAGTATTCACAAAATATATTTTCGTTGTCTCTCCACTTGTACGCAGACATATTAACATACATACATATATTTGTATATATAAATGTATGTATATGTATGCATACATATATATTCATATGTACATTAATTCGCTCGCATTTGGGCTTTTCATTCAGTTTTTCTCCGCTGGCATTGGGCAACTTATTGAAACAACAGCAAATTATATATGTACATATACCTATCTATATATACAATATATCTATGTATACATATATATGTATATCTGACTCTTCTGTTTTGTTTTGGCATCTTACTTGACTGCCGCCCGTCGTCGCGTTCCGTCTTTGTTGTCTTACGCCAGTTTTTCGCGCACATTCGATAGAAGCGCTAAGAAACGCGGCTTTTTCTATTGTGATATCCGGAATTATACCTTTGTATAAACATATAAATATATATATTAATATATATAGGTATATTCCTGTGCGTTGTTGATTTATGGGCTCGCCTTCCGATCAGTCACGCAAGCTAATGCTTAATCCAATCTACAGATACAGTCAGAGAATAGAGTGAATAGCAAAAAGTAAAATTCATTTTTGAAGGATTACGAATATGAAGTTGCCATAGATATATTCATATACATTCCTACATGTATACATACATAGGCATGTACATATATTTGTAAAAGTATTCATTTCGTGGAAAACACACAAACACGCACACAAACAGATTTCAGCTACTTTTTATGTGTGAGCGCACATTTTGGTCCACCCCAAAGTAGACACATACCNTATATCTATGTATACATATATATGTATATCTGACTCTTCTGTTTTGTTTTGGCATCTTACTTGACTGCCGCCCGTCGTCGCGTTCCGTCTTTGTTGTCTTACGCCAGTTTTTCGCGCACATTCGATAGAAGCGCTAAGAAACGCGGCTTTTTCTATTGTGATATCCGGAATTATACCTTTGTATAAACATATAAATATATATATTAATATATATAGGTATATTCCTGTGCGTTGTTGATTTATGGGCTCGCCTTCCGATCAGTCACGCAAGCTAATGCTTAATCCAATCTACAGATACAGTCAGAGAATAGAGTGAATAGCAAAAAGTAAAATTCATTTTTGAAGGATTACGAATATGAAGTTGCCATAGATATATTCATATACATTCCTACATGTATACATACATAGGCATGTACATATATTTGTAAAAGTATTCATTTCGTGGAAAACACACAAACACGCACACAAACAGATTTCAGCTACTTTTTATGTGTGAGCGCACATTTTGGTCCACCCCAAAGTAGACACATACCCTCCGATACCATTGACAGTGTAAAAAAAAAATATAATAATTCAAGAATATCAAATTTAATTCAACTATCTGCTTCTTCAATTGTATTACAATAATTTCACTAGAAGCAATCAAGCATCAAATTCTGAAGTGTACCTAATCAAATGCCGTGGAGTGTGCAGCTATAAACATCCATACACATGCCTGTTTTAGTTGCCAGATTTTTATTTGATGTCTTTTCGGGCTGTTCAACATGTGAACTTATAGTCTGTTGCAAATACAATATACACTCACACCCACATGCATGTGATTGTGCATGTGTGTGTAAATAGACAAATAAATAGGTAAAAATATTCCTCGTACGTTCAAGTCAAGTCAAGCAAAAAAAAAAAAAGAATCTATGGGAAATGAATACATCTACAATTATTGTATATACACACACGAACATATGCACATGTATTAGTTCTATACGAGATTTACATACATACATATGTACATATTTCTTCCAGTTTCCTTTATGTTTACACACACACACAGCATCCGCACGCACACGCACACACAGCAGCTTCAGGCCGAGGATTGTCGAAAATGAAAGTTGAGCTTGAGGGTGGATGTTGAGGCACGTACACACACACATATACGCACAGTCTCAAATACACACACAAACACAACTTGTTGCTTGCGTTTGCTCTTGAGAGTTTTTATACAATAACTGTGTATTACAATATGTACTTAGGCAAAGAATAACAAGCTGTAAATTCAACACGCTCAAAATACATAAAAAGTAACTTTATTCCAGTGCTTTTGTGTGCGTGTGCGCGTGTACGTGTGCGTATTTGCGTGAGCTTGTATGTTTGTTAAATTGTAAATGCAACGCTGTGGGAAATTTTTAAAGCCCGAACTACTAAATAAAAAAGTACTTTTCACAACATGATCGATTGGGTATCGATAGTGCGGCATTCGCGACGACGTTTCTCCAATTATGTTGGTGCGCGGTCGCCGGTACGAATGCGTCGACGTCGACGTCAGTTGACTGCACCGCCGCCACCGTCACAGCAGCAGCAGCAGCACCAACAACAACAGCAACAACAGCATCAACAACAACAACAACAACAGCATAAATCTCGTCTACAGGAGAATAAAGCTAAGGAGCAGCAGGAAATCGATGCCGACGGCGATAGCAGCAGCGTTAGCGGCCGTTACGTTTGCTGTTGTTCCAACGTAAGGCAATCGTCTTATATTTCACTCATACATTGATGGCAAGAAAAAATACTTTGAGCGTTTCCAGAATTAATTTAAATAACATTTAACTGATGTGATTATGTTATGGAATAATGTTTTAAGGAAATTAATTAGCAATAGAAAGCGAATATTTATAAGACCAGAGCTTTGTTTGGAGCTCAAAATTGTATACTTTTATTATTAAATTTGAAGTATATGTCTTTTAAGATCTTTGTGACCTATATCGGTTAGCAATCAATATACTTCAAATTGATTTAACGTTTCCTATGTCTCTTCAAGTGTCACTTGAGTATTTTCTTGAAATGCCTGTCAAGTGTTAATGCATTCTTTCATTTATATAAATATTTATCTTTCGCAGAACCAACGCATGCGCATTGAGTCCGATTGCGAGACTGCCAAAGATGCTGCAGCCGACGATGCTGGCATTCAACAAGTGCGCAACTCGCGCTCACCCCAGCAGCAGCAACAGCAACAGCAGCAGGTGGTACAACAGTTGCAGCAACACCTTAGTCAATCACAGTCCACGGCAGCTAGAAGCGGTACTCAGATAGTAAGTGGCTGCAATTGAATGAATTATGTTTGCTCACTGCCCATAGCTAAAGCTAAATCACGTCACACTAATGCTCCAGTTGAGAACAATTATGGGAAAAAAAAAACTTAGAGAAGGCTATAAAAACTGCCAAAGGGCGAAGCCACTGACTCTAAATGGCCAAACATTCCAAAAAATATGCTGAAATCAAATAATAATAACAATAAAAATAAAGACCGGATGGCCAAAATCACACACAAATCGTTTGGCCACAGTTAATTTCGCTTAATTAGGCGCTTGAGTTCAAATGAAATAAAATGGCTGCCAATACCGCTTGTTTCCGTTTCCGCTCAAACTGTTGCTACACAGCCTTTGTAGATTATTTCATTAATTGTAATTGAAACCTAACCAGTGTTTTTTTTGTTTTTTTGTCCTTACTATTATTATTGCCAGTTAATGTTCGTTGTAATATTGTATTAATATGTTATTACCCTGTATTCTCATATACTCTCACAATTTTCCAATCACGTTATTTTCAATAAACAACAAAAACTGAGATCAATTACCTTACTTAGTTATATTTTTTATTTGTTCACATTAATATTGATGTCATCTATAATTTTGGGCATGTCTATATTCTTATACTGTGTTACTATAAGATTATGTACTTATGTATTTAAGAAGCCATTAAAAACAATTGAATTAATTTTTCTGATTGTTTGATTTGAAAATATTATGGTTTGTATAATTTAAGATCTTTATTTTTTGTTTAAATTTATTTCACTTTTAATGTTGGTTATTATATTAAAGATATAATGTTGTGTTTGTCACTCTCATACATTCAGAGCACTGTAAATGTTATTTATTTTAATTGTTGACCTAGATTTGTAGTTTTTAATGGGTTTCACTATTAACCATCTATGGTTAGTGGTTTTACCTATCCATTTAAATATTTTGAATTTCGCGCCTAGCTTACAATCAACTCTGATTTATATTCGAAGAATGTTTTGCTAACACTGGTTGTTGCGATCGTTGGTATCGATAGACGGGCTTAAGGCTATCGATCTCTAGTCCCGTCTCTAGTGATCCAAGCGCAAGCGTCACTCCCTTGATAAAAATGTAAAAAGTAAACACGTCGTTGCTTACTAATTGTGCGTGTCAATGTGCAATCGTATGTTAACATAAATTTAAATTGACGTGCATTATTAATAAAAAAAAACCGATAGTATAGTGTAATAACTTCGATTCTCTCTAAGCTATAAACTATATAGTTTGGTGCTGCCAGTTAAAACTGTTGATGTATCAGCGGTAATATAACCGGTTACGCATACCAAAACACCACGACGATAGTTTGTTAGCATGCTAGAGGTGGGTCGGGATTGTGGGCTCGGCAACAATCGAACGGTTGCGCAGCTCTAGTCAGTCGCTGGCTCGCTAGAAAAATGCCAACAACACAACACGGGAAAAGAAGCAGGCATCGCATAATTGCGGCGTAAACGCATTAAGAAAATACATAAACGGTCTGTGAAAATCAGCGCCAGCAAGCCTATATACAAAATCAATGCGAACCGCGAGTAGAAATGTGCGTGTTTTATTTAGAAATGTGCTCGAAAGTGACCTGAAAAAAAATCCAGAACAAAAGCAAAACTCCTCTGTACATAAAATATTAATGTTTATCAATTTATATATAGATACGTGCCACAAACCACAAACCATAACAAAGTGTAATCAATGAAAAATTGGCTATCATAAAAACAGCTAAAACAAAAATAATGTCTTAAAGTTGTGCCTTTTAGCTTGCGCTACTTTTTTTTATTTTTTTACATTCGTCAGAACCGCGTACATATACGCTCACACATACATTCATACGCGTACGTTCACATACACGTATGTATGTTGGCTATACACATGCAAGGCATAGCGCAAAAAAATACCAAAATAGTCGGCGGTTGACACAGAGAGTGAGAGCCGAGAGCATTGCGACTGTTGACTTTTTTTTTGTTTTTTGTGTTTTTTGCTACTTACTCTGGCAAACAATAAATAAATATGTGTGTATGTAATTTGGAAAGCATAACATGAATGTATATATGTGTGTGCGATTAGAAGATTCTCTCACGCTCAGTAACAGAAACAGAACAAACGGTGCCCAGCAAGTTTTCAGCGATAGTTGTAGTTAGAACTCGCTCACGTTGGCAACGCGCCGCTTGTCTGTGTTGCTCTTACATATTTATTAGTTGTTATTATTTACTTATTTTTTTTTTTCGTTTTGCCTTTTTTTAAATTATTTTTTGCGTCTTGTGTGGATGACACTTGTTAGTGAGTCACGCGGCGGCGGCGAGCGAGAGTGCAAGTAACATACGCTTATGTATGTATTTGTGGGCGTGTGTACGTGTGTACGCTTATACTTTATATTAAACGCAAAGCTAAAGGGAAATTTATAACATTTTGTTTGCTTAGCACGTAGTGAACGAACGAGACGTTGCAACGTAACAATAATTAACGTAAACGTTTACGCGACTGCGACGTCACTCAACCGGCATTTGTGATTGTGCTACGTTACGTGCAACGTTCATTGCTGTGTGCGAGAGAGAGTGAGTGAGTGAGAACAAGCGCGTTGTGATAATAATATGACTACACGCAAAAAGAAGCGTCAGGATGGAAGCAGCAGCGGCGGCGGCGGCTTCATTAAGAAAGTCTCATCACTATTCAATTTGGATTCGGTAATGAAAAAGTGCAAATATAGTAAATTAAAAAAAGAAAACACTAAGTATTTATAAAATAGATCAAATGTTCCATGCTGATCAAACTTGATAATGATATGTTAGATAGTTATCTCTGCCCCTGCCCCAGCCTCTGCTCTATATTTATGCAATATTTTCATTCTACGGCAGCTAACAAAGTTTTCGGATCTTTTTATATATATTTTCAATGATGATTCCATGGTTTATTTTTAAATTCCGCCATATATTCAGACAGCATAAAAAGTATAACAGCAAAGGCAACAAGCAAATTCTCTCAGTGCGTCTTTGTCATCGCATTTGTATGTCCAAATTTCAGTGAATAAACAAATTGTCTTTACGCATGCGCAACTCAATTTCTCCCAATGACACATGCATATACATACATACATATATATATTTATATATAAGTAGGCAAAGTAGTTGCGAATGGGCGTACAATGTAGAATTTGCAAAAATGACAGCTGCATCTTTCTCTCGCTCTTTCTAACTTCCTCTCCTCTGCATGCCGCCACGCATAGTGTCACCTACTTAACTGTGCATGCATGCATGTGTGTATGTGTGTATGCATATATGCATCGGCATGTGCGTGTGTAAACACGACGTCCGTTTGCTCATCTAGTGTCTCTTGCTCTCGCACTCGCACTCGCGCTCGCTCTCTCGCTCGCTCTCTTTCCCTTACTAGATCGCTCAAAATAGAACTCGCTCGTCTTCACAATTAGCGGCTGCCTTGAGCACCACCCAAATGCAACAACAAAAGCTCAATGGGCTCTCTTAACGGTGTTTGCTTGAATAAGCAGGCAGACACATACTCATATCCATTTAACTACAGTGTGTGCTCGATATGAGAAACAGTTCTACCCTAAATTGAGCTTAATTATCGAGATTTGATTGACAATTAGTGTTAATCACTTCATTTAAGCTAAATATATATACGTACATATTTCAGTTACTCATATGTATTTATTCAATGAGTCTACCAAATGACTGCAAATTCTTAAATCGCTGCACGTCTTCTAATTTGTATACAGTTTGAATATTATTTGTTTGCCTTTTTTGGCAGCCAGATGGAAGGACAACAATGTTGATATTGAACCACATTTGGGGGGCAGTTTTGATTGGCTTTGGCTGCCGGTGGAGGTGCAGGTGTCGATTTATTTAGGCATAGTATATATACCCATTCAGATATATGTACATATATATATAAAATTGGCATTGTGGTCATTTCATACACATCGGCAATACGTGTGTGTGTGTGTGTGTGTGAGCGCATGCAGTTGGCTTTGCGTCAAATCGTCACAGGGTTCCAATCAGACCAAAAGTGAAGTAATGCGAGCGAGAGGCAGAAAGAGAGCATAGGACGTATAATCCACACCCAACCAAACATTTCGTACTCATTCGCATTTGGTGGCAATTCACGGAACCATATTTGGAGCCTATATATACTATATACATATAAGTATGTATGTGTATACCTGTATATATATGTATAAGTACACCTATAATCAGTGTAATAGAAGCAGTAATACGATAGTAAAATAATAAAAATAATTGTAATAGTAGAGTAGGGAGCCGATAGTCTGCCCAAGCAGTACTTAAAAATGGATAATCTTATAGACAAGCTTGACTGTAGTTTACATATTAAGGAAACTAAACGCACGGCTAATTCAAGGTGTAACTATTTTTTTGTTTATAGAAGAATATTTACTCATGCTACTTTAGCAAGTGCTGCCTTGTATTTGCCGTTAAGTAAATAAACTGTAATTGCCACACTCTGAAACTGGAACTCGTACATAAATATGTATGCATGTGCGTGTGTGTGTGTGTGTAAACCAACCCCAACCCCAACTCGAAAAGTAAACCCAAAGCCGAAACCAAAGCATATTTAAAAGCCATATGATTTTCACTGATAAGATAAGGTGTGCTTGGTAGCTGATATGAAGACTATGTTGCCGATAATATATAGTCCAGTGACTATATATAAATACATATGTATGTGTATGTTTAAACATAACAACAAAAACAAACCACAACAATTGAAAATATTTTTGCGGTTTTTTGTTTTCTTCATATCGTTTGGTGAATGAGAATATGCCCGCTAAAGCATTAACCACTGAAGCGACCTTCAATGAAAAAGGCTTTATAAAATTCCAATTGTAGAATTGTGATGCAATTGTTTACATAAGACACAGACCGTCCCCCTCCCCTCCCCATTCCTTTATATGATTTCATCCACCTTTAAATTGTCAACTTAATTAAATTGAATTATTAAGCATAGCAGAGCCGTATGAATCTAATCAGTAGGAATTCGGTTAGTTATTGATTGAGTTCAGGTTCGTTTCAGGTGACAAAAGCAAAGCAAAGCAAAGGCGAAAACAAAATGTACATGTCAAATATTTAACATATTGCTTAATTTACTTTACTCTCTTCAGTTAAATTAAAAGAAATTTATTTCTCAATATTTAACAAGAACTTGGATTTGTCTCTTAATGTATATAGCAAAAGTGCATGTTAAATATTTAACATCAGCTTAACTTCAATGCATAATATGCATTCCATCCTTGAGTGTGACTAGAGTTTGACATTCAAATGGAACGAGACTCTTCCTAGGGCATTACCAAAATACTAAAGACGTAAAATAGCACAACTGCATGTCAACTATTTGTTTGACAGGTGAATAAACTGCCATATAATGAGCCATGAAAGCTCCGCATTATGAGCCATGTGCGCTGGGTTAAGCAACAATTTGATCCAATTTGAAGTTGATCTGCGAATTAGTCACAGCACGTAGCTGGCAGACAGACGAACAGACAGACAGACAGACAGACAGTTGACCTGTTCACCCGGCTTACGTCAAAGGTTAATAAGCAATTTGAAGCGCACGTGAGCGCAGCCAGTTTTGCATTCGAGCTGCAATTACTTACAGTCCGCTTGCCTCTCTGTGGCTCTGTCTGTCTGTCTGTTTGTGTGTTTGTCTGTTTGTGTGTGTCTTAATGAACTCATCTACACCCAGTTGCTAATCAATTGAACTCGTTTTTTTCACGCGTTTGCGTGTGTAGGTGTCTGTGTGCGTGTGCGTGTGTGTGTATTGTCATGTTTGTCTCTGAATGTTGCAATTTCACATAGTCGAAAAGCTGTAATTCATTTATGTAACTTGTAACTTTGGCATTCCATTGATGTAGCTGTAAATGCGCATCTTGTGCTGTCCGTCAGTGCGTTCCACACAAAAGCGTACAAAAGTTTCTATAGATTGATTTTTGGGTGGGGCCTTTGCTAGTTTACATAGATACTTACATGTGTCGAGTGGGGTGCCTCGGGTGGGCTGTGTGTTTGTGTGCGTGTGTGTGTGTGGATTGAATTCCAGTTCCGCTATATGAATATTAAGTAAGATTTCAATATCATCTTATATATGCATACATATATATTTATAGATATCTCAATACAACATTAATAGGAATACACTTGACGCTAGAAAGCTAATTTCGTTGGCTCGAAACGTATAGGTAGTTCAAGTTAAAGCTGCAATAAGGTCTTCTTGGAATAGATGATCTATATAAATACATATTACATGCATTTATTTATTTCGTCTGTTAGTTTATTGTTGGAAATGATATATTACTGTAGCTCAAATTCAACATCACGCTGGAAACTTTCCTACTTCTTTTTTAAACCTAAGCCCGGTGAATTATGGTTTTGTGGAAATGTTTATAAATATATAACAGACAGATGGAGGTAATAATACATAACCCGATTCAGGTTACGCTTTAAACACTGATTTTTATAATCGATTATTGCCAAAAGAGAATTTTCATAATTTTTTAGGGTTAGATCATCTTTATTGTTATTATATATATTTAAAAAAATAATTATTTTCGATTATTATCTGTGTTAAAAAAAATTGTAAAAATGATTATTATTCATAGATAATTCTTGTTGTTATCGATTACATTTATGATAATGATCGTTAAATAATAATGATCATTATTATCAAACGGTAGTTGATATCGTTAAATGATTATTATTATCTATAATATCGATGAATGACTCTTATTATTTTTAAAGCCAATAGATAATTATGTTTATTATAATTATCGATAAATAATAATTGATGATTGGAAATCGTTTTTAAAGCGTAGCCAACTATTGAGGCAAGGAACTTCTCTTAAATTATAATTATTTGGGATTATGAATACCTCCCGCGTGCCCCCTAACATCCGGATGTCATTACTGCGCAGTAAAGCGTAAAATAATTAGCAATTGGCAATTCTGTGCAGGATTTAGGGTATCGCCTAGTCGGACACTCCCTACTAGAGCACTTTTAATTGTTTACCATGAATCAGTCAGCTTTTATCAGTTAGAGAAATGAGTCTCGAGTTGGATTTCTGAGCAATATAATTGAAACTGCCTTTCAAGCATTACAAATGTCCATTAGAAATTGAGACCGTCTCAATTTGAATCAGAAATATTTAATAGATGATAATGATAAAAGAAATCGAACCAATGGTCTCTTAGTCATCGAATCAGAACATAACTCTTAAGCTTAAAGTAAACAAATCGCATTGCAAAACGATTGATCTCACAATTTAAAGTTTTTCTCTCGGTCCCATTCGATTTTCAGCTACACAGGGCATCATCGACGAAGGTAAGCCGAGATTCCAAAATGCATATTCAGTGTTTGTCACTTAAAACAATAAAAACCAAGACATCAATTAAACAACTGTCTTTATCTGTATTTTGTATACGTCCTGTGTTTTGTCAACATCCGGTGCGGAAGTGCATATAATATGATGTACTATATACATACAATATATATGTATGTATATATATATTTGTATTTGTGTGTGTCTGTGTCTGTCTTATCGTTTTACTTACAAGTCGTAAATGCATTTTCAATTAGTTATGCATGCCAAGCTAAAGTTAATTAATTACAACTATAACAAATTAATCAGCGCTGATCCATTGGCCATTGGAGTGTGCGTCCTCTCATCCAGCAATTTGTCACACATTGGAATGTGTTATCGATGCCATTGCTAATGCCTTTGTGATTCCATTTGCAGGTGAACGGCGATGACAGCTGGTACTATGAGGACATACAGCTGGAGCGCGGCAACTCGGGGCTGGGCTTCTCGATTGCCGGTGGCACGGACAATCCGCATATTGGCACCGACACATCGATCTATATAACGAAACTGATACCCGGCGGCGCAGCAGCCGCCGATGGTCGTCTGAGCATCAATGACATCATTGTCTCGGTGAACGATGTGTCCGTGGTGGATGTGCCGCATGCATCCGCCGTGGATGCCCTGAAGAAGGCCGGCAATATTGTGAAGCTGCATGTGAAACGGAAACGTGCCACCAGCGCTACAGCAGCAGCAGCAGCCGCAGCACCCACAGCCGATGCACTGGACAGTGTTAGTGCCACGGCCATGTCGGCGGCGTCGGCGTCGGCATCGGCAGCGGCAGCGGCCGGGCCAAAGGTGATCGAAATCGATTTGGTCAAGGGCAACAAGGGACTGGGCTTCTCCATTGCCGGCGGCATTGGCAATCAGCATATACCGGGCGACAATGGCATCTACGTGACCAAGCTGATGGACGGCGGCGCCGCCCAAGTGGACGGACGTCTATCGATTGGCGACAAGCTGATAGCAGTTCGCACCAATGGCGTAAGCATTCCGAGCAACTTTCTTTCTTCCATTCAATATAAACTAAAACTGTTTCATTCTTGCTGCTCCCAAAAACAGAGTGAAAAGAATTTGGAGAATGTCACGCACGAGCTGGCCGTGGGCACGCTCAAGTCAATCACTGATAAGGTGACGCTGATTGTGGGCAAGACGCAGCATTTAACCAGCAGTGTGTCACAGTCGGGCGGCAGTCTGGGCGGCCAGCTGGGCCAGCAGTCGCAGGCGCAGCACTCGCAGTCGCAGACCCAATTGGCAGCCACACGCCAACAACAGCAGCAGCAGCAGCAAGTGAACTCGGAATCTGCAGGTGCGCTTAACACTGTTGGGCAGTCAGTTGTTGATTCAGTCACAGATTCAGTCATCAGCAACTCCACTGTTACCACAACCACAAACATAACCACTTCCAATACCAACAACATCTCCACCACCAACACCATCAACACCTCCATATCCACCACCACCACCAACAACAACACCAATTTAGGCTCAAGCAGTAGCCATCTAGTGCAACATAATATTGCCGCAGTCAACAACAGCAGCAGCAGCGGCAGCAGCAACACTCTTAACCTAAACAACAACAATAATAATAACAACAACAACAGCAGCAGCAGCAGCGCCAACAGCAGCAGCAACAGCAACGGCAACAGCAACTGCAAAACCAACAACTACAATAACAACAGCAGCAACTTGGTTGCAGTCGCTGCAGTCACACAACCACAACAACTACAACAACAGCTACCACAAGCACCCGCCTCTGCCACTGCCTCTGCCTCTGCCTCCGCCCCAGCTYTAGCTTTCAATGCTAAGCTTGCAATGCCAATGGCTGCTGCTGGTGGCACAGAGCAAAGCCGTTCCCAATCACCCTTGCCAAGGCGTAAGCGAATCATATTTGAACTTCAACTAATCACAACTCTCGATAAATTAACAACTCTCTCTATATGCATTTCTCAACAAGAGCCGCTAAACAGTCCTGAATCACCTACTAGCCCACACTAATACATTGCCAATATATCAATATATCTGCATATATCTCTGTATGTACTATATGCATGTGCATATCGAATAGATACACTCATTTAGGTTGGCTACAAACCTGTACAGCATACAGAATTTAGACTGGGCTCTTAACTAACTGCTAATCTATTGTTGCTATCTCTTAAGCTCTCGTACTAACACCGCTCCTATATATGTATATACATATATCATATATATATATATMTCTAACTTAGTTGTGATAGAGTTCGATTCCCGCAGCACTCTACGGAGCGCTTGCACGGCTTTTGCTTGCGTGCTTGCTAAGCTGCTCGTGCTCCCGTGTTGTTCGTTAAACACTCAACATTTTGCAACACTGGCCCACAAAGCCGTGTTGTTCATTCCAATCTATACAAATCGAGACATTTGATCAAATACTGCAAATGTCGACCCGAATCTAACATGGCACTCGTCTTCGTATTTGCATGCATCAATCTA